TGCTGCTGCTGCTGCTGCTGCAGTCCGCTCGTGGTGCATCGCAGCAGCAGAAGAAGAGGGCCGAGCAGCTCGGAAAGGCCACTGCTGCAGCTGCGCAATCTGCACTGAACAAGAGACCTCTGACGTGAGCCTTGCTGCTGCTGCTGCTGCTGCTGCTGCTGCTACTTTCGCTGCTGCTGCTCCATTTGCTGCAGTTGCTGCTGCTGCTGCTGCTTTCGTTGCTTCTGGCCTGTTGCTGCTGCGGATGCAGCTCTTGTTGCTGCTGCTGCTTTTGCTCTCGTTGCTGTTGCTGCTGCTCTTGTTGCTGTTGTTGTTTCTGCTGCTGTTCCTGCATCTGCTGCTGCTGCTCCTTTTGCTGCTGTTGCTGTTGACTTTGCGCCTCTCTGCCCTGGCCCGCTTGTGCTGCTGCTGCTGCTGCTGCTGCTGCTGCTGCTGCTGCAGGCCTGCGGCATTGCCGGCAAGTACCCTCTCCGGGTTTCCAAAAAGAGCAGCAAGAAGCAGCAAATTGAGGTCCTCTCTTTATTCATTCTGTCAGGGGGGCCCCCCCTGGGGGGCCCCCACCCGTTTGGGGGCCCCCCGCCAGGGGGGGCCCCCAGAACTGGGGGGCCCCCCAAGAAGAACTGCTGCACCTCAGGGGGGCCCCCCATGAGGGTACTGCTGGAGATGAGGGCTGAAGAAGGGCTGCTGGCGCGTCAGTGGGGCCCCTTGACAATTACTTTTGCTGCTGCTGCTGCTGCTGCTGCTAATAAAAAAGAAAACAAGCAGCAGCAGCAAATTGCTTCTGCTGCTGCTGATGTTAAGAATAAAATCGGGGAGCAGCAGCAAATCCGAAGGGCCAAGGAGACCCTCGCCAAGGCAAGACCCAAACTGCAAGCAGCAGCAGCAGCAGCAGCAGCAGCAGCTGCTGCTGCTGCTGCTGCTGCTGCAACTGCTGCTGCCGCTGCAATTGTAGCAGCCGCACGCGTGACGCAGTTTGAAGAGCCAACAGGGCATGCAGTTGCAGCAGCAGCAGCAACAGCTGCTGCTGCTGCTGCTGCTGCTGCAGTGACAGCAGAAGCTGCCACTGCTGCTAGTGCTGCTGCTGCTGTGGCTTTTGTCTGCTGCAGCAATGGGGCGAGCTGCTGAACACTGAAGGCGATGCGAAAGACTCAATCCACTACGTGAATTCCAAACCCTAAACCCTAAACCCTAAACCCTAAACCCTAAACGCTCAACTGTGAAGAAACCCTCGAGCTTTTCGCTCACGGGCAAACCAAGTCTTCTGCAGCCACTTTCTCCAGCAACTTTAAAATTAATTTAAATAAATAAATTAAATTAAAATTAAAAAAACAAAAATGCATTTATCTGCAAGTGCAGCTAGCTGCAGTTGAGGTGTACATACAGCTCAGGTGTATCTGCAGCTCGGGTGTACATGCAGCTCGGGTGTATATACAGCTCGGGTGTATCTGCAGCTCGGCAGCGTCACGCACCAGTTCAGCCACCAGTCTCACAGCGTCTACGTGTTCTATGCGCAGCAGCAGCAGCAGCAAGAGCAGCAGCAGCAGCAGCAGCAGCAGCAGCAGCAGCAGCAAGAGCAGCAGCAGCAGCAGCAAGAGCAGCAGCAGCAGCAGCAGCAGCGGCAGCAGCAGCAGCAAGGGCGGCGGTGGGCGACGCTTTCGGAAGCTGAGGTGAGTGTCTCCTTGAGGTGTACATACACCGCAGCAGCCATTTGCTTTTCAGTAGATCCATGCATGCAATTTATATTTTTGTTTTTACAAAAATAAATAAAATAATGCAATTAAATGCATTTAAATGTTCTTAAATAAAATAATGCAATTAAATGCAATTAAATGCAATTAAATGCATTTAAATATACTTTGCATGCATGCTCTTTAGCCTGTCTCCTTATCCATTTCTTCTTCATTTGTCTCTGTTTAATTTTCTTTTTTAATTGCTTTTAATTAATTTACTTTCTCTCAATACTCTCTTTTTAATTGTCTTTTTATTTTTAAATTACTTTCTTTCAATTGTCTCTTTTTAAATTACTTTCTTTTTGACTGTCTCCTTTTAAATTACTTTCTTCTAATTGTCTCTTTTTAAATTACTTTCTTTTAATTGTCTCTTTTTAAATTACTTTCTTTCAATTGTCTCTTTTTAAATTACTTTCTTTTAATTGTCCTTTTTTGTTCCTGACTCAGCGCCTTGTCTTAACTGAATTTCTGCTTTTCATTCTACTATCAAACTAAATAAATATAAATAAATAAATAAATAAATAAATATAAATATAAATAGACAAATAACCACAAATAAAAAATAAAAAATAAATAAATAAATATAAATAAAAAAGTTAATGTTTTTAATTTGCTGCACTTTGTCTCCTAGGCCCTTTGCACCTGCACCTACTTTACGAAGCAGCTGCAGCTGCTGCTGCTGCTGCTGTCGGGGCAGCAGCAGCAGCAGCAAAAAGGCCCCTGCAGCAGCAGAGTCAAACGACACTAGTTGTGTCGAGAAATAAATAATTAATTCGAAATAATTAATTAATTTCAATTGCAATAAATAAATTCGTTTTTCAAATCTACAGAAATATATTTAAGTACCCGCTTGTTGGGGTGTACGTACACCTCAAAAGCCCACCCAGCCAGGGGGGCCCCACAGCCTCCTGCGGTGTCTGTACACCCCAAAAGCTGCAGCAGCAGGGCCACTGGCTGCTGCAGCAGCAACTCCAGCTCCAGCCGTTTCAACTGCAGCAGCAAGCTGCTGCTGCAGCAAGCTGCAGCAGCAGCAACTGCTGCTGCAGCCGCTCCAACTGCCGCACCAGCTGCAGCAGCAGCAGCACCTGCTGCTGCTGCCCCTTCAACTGCCGCACCAGCAGCAGCAGCAGCAGCAGCAGCTGCTGCTGCTGCTGCTGCTGCTGCTACTTTGCGCATGCAGCTGCTGCTTTGGGGCTGGACCTGTGGGGCCCCCGCCAGTGCCAACGGGGGCCCCCTTTTGAACAAAAGGAGAAAATGGAAAAAGCAGAAAGTGCAATTATTGATCTGCATTAAAATAAACAAATTAAATTTATTTCAAACATTCAAATTCATTTTATTTTATTTCGCCTTCTGAAGAGCCGAATGGAGCCAGAACAAGCCTCAGCAGCAGCAGCAGCAGCAGCAGCAGCAGCAGCAGCAGCTCCTGCTGCTGCTGCAGCTGTAGCTCTGCTGCTGTCGACCTAGCTGTTGCTGCTGCTGCTGCTGCAACTGCTGCTGCTGCTGCTGCAACTGCTGCTGCTGCTGCTGCTGCTGCTGCGCGAGTCTCTTTCTGGCTTCTCTTCCGACAAAGAACTAGACAACAAATAAAGTGGAAAAGGCATTATTGAATTTGAATAAACTTTTGCAAATAATAATTAATTCAAGAGCAGCAAAGAGAGACAGACAGCCCAACAGTGCCATTTGTGTCTCCTTTGTCTCCTTTAAGTTAATTGTCTCTAATAAATAAAGCACTCCACGGCCCCAAACCTAGCTGCTGCTGCTGCTGCTGCTGCTGCGGCAGCGGGCTGCTGCTGCTGCAGCGGGCTGCTGCTGCTGCAGCGGGCTGCTGCTGCCGGCTTATTCCGCCGTTGCTGCTGCAGCTGCTGCTGCTGCACCTGCTGCTGCTGCAGCGGGCTGCTGCTGCCGGCCAATTCCGCCGTTGCTGCTGCAGCTGCTGCAGCAGGCCGCCGCCGCCGCCGCCGCCGCCTCCGCTGCTGCTGCTGCTGCTGCTGCTGCTGCTGCTGCTGCTGCTCAAGGCAGCAAGTACTGCATCCAGCTGTCCTCTTCGGGGAAGAACTCGCGGATGGTCCAGCGGTAGACCTCCCGCGGGTCCCCCGTGAAGTGGGTACTGCTGTGGGGCCCCAGGGGGGCCCCCAAGCTGCGCAGCAGCTTCAAGTAAAAGACCTCTTGGGCCCTCAAAAGGGTATGAACGGGGGGCCCCAACTCTTCTTCAGGGTTTAGTCCTGCTTCCAGATGATAGAGGAGCCAGTCTGCTGCTGCTTCGAGTCGCAGCTGCGCAGCTTGCTTCACTTCCTCCATGATTTCCGCCGTTTGCTGCTGCTGCTGCAGCAGCTGCTGCTCCCGCTGCAGCAGCTGCTGCTGCCGCTGCAGCAGCTGCTGCTCCCGCTCCGCCCGCTGCTGCTCCGGGCTCCCCGGCTGCTCCCGCTGCTCCTGCTGCTGCTGCTGCTGCTGCTGCTGCTGCTGCGCGGCGCCGGGGGCCTCCGCGCTGCCCGCGGCCTCGCTGCTGCTGCTGCTGCTGCTGCTGCTGCTGCTGCTGGAAAGAGACAGTTCCTTGAGTCTGTTGAGCGCAGCAGCTTCGTGGCTGTGCAGCAGCGCCTGGTGCATGCGGAAGAGGGCCCAGTCCCTCTGTCTCCTTTCTCTGTCAGTTTTGGGACTTTCTTGAAAAGCCTGAGGCTCTTTTGTCTCCAAATAAAAAGAATAAAAAGAGACAAGAGCTTCTTCGTGGCCCCCCAGGAAGCCCTGCTGCTGGCTGCGGGCCACGAACTGCTGCAGCGAAGCAGCAGCAAAATGTTCCTTGAAGGCCTCGCAGAGGGGCCCCTGCGGAGACAGAAACAGCGGGAAGAACGAGGGAGCAGCAGCAGCTCTTGCTGCTGCTGCTGCTGCTGCTGCAGTTGGCTGCAGCGGGCCTTCTTCCAAGTGCAGCGAAGGCAAAGTCTCCCCCAGTTCCGCCCGTGCTGCTGCTGCTGCTGCTGCTGCTGTCAGCGCGCCCGCCCCTGCTGCTGCGTCAGCTGCTGCTGCTTCTGCTGCTGCTGCTTCTGCTGCTGCTGCTGCTGCTGTGGGGTGTCTCTCCTCGTCTTCGTACACAAAGGGGAACACTGTGTAGCCGTTCTCCTCCCGTGCTGCTGCTGCTGCTGCTGCTGCAGTCGGCGCTGCTGCTGCTCCGCTCGGCGAAACTGCTTCCTCCCCTGCTGCTGCTGCTGCTGCTCCTGCTGCTGCTGCTTCTTCTGCTGCTGCTACTGTGGAGTGCGAGCCTTCTTCGCTCAAAGTAAAGTAAAATGGCGGAGACTCCGAATCCTCCAGAGCTGCTGCTGCTGCTGCTGCCAGCGAGGAGTCCTCGGACTCGGCCTCTGCTGCTGCTGCTCTTGCTGCTGCTGCTGCTGCTGCTGCTGCTGTGGGGTGTTCACCGCCGTCAATCCAAAAAGGGTAAGGCAACGAGCCGGCCTCCTCGCGAGCTGCTGCTGCTGCTGCTGCTGCTGTCAAGGCTGCCTTCTCGTCGTCTGCTGCTGCTGCTGCTGCTTCTGCTCTTCTTGCTGCTGCTGCTTCTGCTGCAGTGCGGTGTCTCCCCTCCTCGTCAAGCAGATAAGGAAATGCCCCGGAGCCAAACTCCTCGCGAGCTGCTGCTGCTGCTGCTGCTGCTGTCAGAGCGCCCTTTTCTGCTGCTGCTGCTGCAGCAGGGGCCCCCTGCCGCCGGCGAAGTCCAGCCACTAGGGCCCCAAAAATCAACCCAAGAGCAGCGAGAGCCAACAGGGGGCCCCCCACCTGGCTCCTGAGGGGGCCCCTCCTGGGGGCCCCCCGGGGGCCCCTCTCGAGGAAGAAGCCCTCCACGCCGTCCTTCACGGGCCCCTCCAGAGGGGACAACAGGGGCCCCCCCGGGGCCCCCTGGGGGGCCCCCAGGGGGCCCCCATGGTCCTCTGTGGCCACCAGGGCCCCCCCGTAAGGAGGCAGCAAAGGGTCAGCGTGGGGTGGCTCTTGGGGTGTACGTACACCTGAAGAGCTCGAGCTGCTGCCCCGGGGCTCGAAGCTGTTGCTGCTGGAAGCTGGAGAAGAAAGGCGGCCCATTTTAGGGTTTAAAAGAAAAAAAGACGCGAAAAAGCCGCAAAAAGCCGCGAAAACCCTAAACCCTAAACCCTAAACCCTCGCCGAGCCGACGGAGGAACGCCGCGGACCAGAGAGCAGACCAGGGCTCGTTTGGGTGGAAGAAAAAGTTGTTTGCCAATTAATAGTTCCAAACTGCGAATAATAACCGCCAAAAGCAACGAATTAGGGTTTAGGGTTTGGGAATTAGGGTTTAGGTTTGGCGGTTCGAGGCTGGTCCGGCCTCAAAGCAGCAGACCGAGACACCAAGCAGAGAGAAGACTGGAAGTCTTCTAGGGTTTGCACTTGAGAATAAGAGTTAAATTAGGGTTTAGGGTTTGACGCTCGCGATGAATCTTGAAAAAGCCGGTTTAGGGTTTAGGGTTGAGGGTTTAGGGTTTAGGGTTTAGGGTTTGTGGGTGTTCGGTGTCTGCACGGCGGGGAGTGGTCGATCTCGAGTTGCTGCTGGTCCGGCTGCGCTGCAGCGTTGCTTTTTGCTGTTTTTGGAAACAAATTTCAAACAAATGAAATAAATAATTAATTTAATGCAATTTAATTTAATTTAATTCAATTTAATTCAAAAAACGGGGAAAAAACGGCCACTTTTGCCCCAGATTGCGCAAAAGGACTTCTGCAGCAGCAAACCCCCACGGGTAAAAACACAAAAAGTCAAACTCTGCAGCTTTTTTGAAAAACGAAAAATCCAATTTAATTCTTCTTTCGTTTTCAGGTGTACGTACACCTCAAAAGCAGCAGCAGCTGCTGCCCAGGCAGCAGCAAAGTGAACAAAGCGCCAAAGACTTTGTCGCGCTGTTCTGCTTCGACCCTCCAAACCCTAAACCCTAAACCCTAAACCCTAAACCCTAAACCCTGAACCCTAAACCCTAACGACCAAGCCCTAAACCCTAGAGTGGGCGCCAGCAGCATGACGCAGAACGCAGCCGATTCTCAACCTTAAACCCTAAACCCTAAAGCCCTAAACCCTAAACCCTAAACCCTGAGTGCTAAACCCTAAACAACCATAGAGGGTCTTCTCAGAGCAAACTCTAAACCCTAAACCCCTGGGGAGAACTTCCCTTGGCACGCTTCCTGGTTAACTGTTTACGAGCTGGGGTGTAGGTCATAGGGTTTAGGGTTTAGGGTTTATTTAGGGTTTAGGGTTTATTTAGGGCCTAGGGTTTAGGGTTTAGGGTCTAGGGTTTACAGAGCGGCTTGCAAAAACAGTACTTCCCTGAGGTGCTTTTAGGGGCAGAAATCAAATCCTGAGTCAAACTACTTTATAATAAAATAATTAAATAAATTAAATAAATTAAATAATTAAATAAATTAAATAAATAAATAAATAATAAATAATAAATAATAAATAAATAAATTTGTTGAAAAGTCGTTTAATTAATTTGACAGAAAGGTGCAACAGCGCACTGAGGTGCACATACACCTCGTGGATCTCGCTGCGCCCAGTTTCCCCTCTAGCCCCCAAACCCTAAACCCTAAACCCTAAACCCTAAACCCTAAACCCTAAACCCTAAACCCTAAACCCTTGGCGAGAGGGGACTCCCCTTGCTGCTTCTAACTTGTCTATTTCTTTGTCTAGCGACAGCAGCAGCCGCAGCAGCTTTTCCTGCTGCTGCAGCTGCCGCTGCGTCTTGAGGGCAATGGGCAGCTCGCTTAGGGCTTTCTGCAGCAGCAAACCACAAAAAAGGGTTTAGGGTTTAGCGCCCAGGAAACAGGCTTTAGGCTTTGAAGCAGGATGCATCACAGCGCGCCTGTCGAACTCACCGCCCAACGAGCTAGCTAGCTAGCTAGCTAGCTAGCTAGCTAGTCAACTGGCTGGCTAGCTAGCTAGCAAGCTGGCTAGTTGCTTAACTGGCTGGCTAGCTATCTGGCTAGCTAGCTATCTAGCTAGCTAGCTGACTGGCTGGCTAGCTAGCTTGCGAGTTAACTGGCTGGCTAGCTAGGCAACTCGCCAGCTAGCTAGCTAACTAGGAGTTTCTTATTTCCTGAACAACTAGCTAGCCGGCTATCTACCTAGCTAGCTAGCCAGCTAGCTGAGGGCAGCTAGCTGGCTAGCTACCTAGCTAGCTAGCTGGCTAGCTAGCTAGCTAGCTAGCTAGCTAGCTAGCTGGCTGACCTCTGCGTCTTGCTGCTGCTGCTTCATCACTTCCAGCAGCCGCTGCCTCTCAGCTTCTGCCAAAAGCTCACAGGGGCCCCCCCCCTTAGCCTGGCCTCAGCAGCAGCACGGAGGGCCTGAGAAGCAACCCCTGAAAGCTTTCCCGTAGACCCTAAACCCTAAACCCTAAACCCTAAACCCTAGGACCTGTACTTTGAGAAGAGGCAGTACAGCCTTCGGGGCCCGGCTGTTCAAGCGCAGCGCTTCAACACCCCAAAACCCTAAACCCTAAACCCTAAACCCTAAACCCTAAACCCTGTCTCACTTTGATATATTTGGGGACGACCCCGAAGTTTTTATGTTTGACAAACTGCCCCACAAGGGTCTCTTTTGTTTCTTTTTCCTTTTCTTGAAGTGTACCCTTTTTGTCTCTTTTTAGGGCCTCCAGCAAACGCCGGGGGCCCCCGGGGGCCCCCCTTTCCCCAGTACCCTGACGCTGCAGGGGCCCCAGGGGCCCCCCACGTTGTGCCTTCTCCAGGGGCCCCTGGGGCCCCTGGGGCCCCTGAAGGGCCTTCTGAAGCCCTGGGGGCCCCCCTGGGGGCCCTTGGGGGGCCTCCCAAGGCCCCAGGGGCCCCCGGGGGGCCCCCTGCTGCAGGCCAAGTATCTTGGCAGCAATATGCTGTACCCTCAAGGCCTGGGTCTTTGTGGTCCTCACAAAAGGCCGTGGAGGCCCCTGAGGGGGCCCCTCGAGGGGCCCCTCGGGGGGCCCCTCAGGGGGCCCTTGGGGTTTTCCGCATTGCTGCACTTCATCAGGGGGCCCCTGGGGCCCCTGGAACCCCTGCTGCTGCTGACCATCTTGGGGCCCCTCGGGACCCCGGGGCCCCTGGGGCCCCCAGGGCCCCTGAGGCAATTGGGGCCCTCGAACCCCCTGAAACCGTTGAGATCCCTGGGGCCCCTGGGGCCCCCGGGGCCCCCGGGGCCCCTGGGGCGTCTGGGGCCCCTGGGGCGTCTGGGGCCCCTGGGGCCCCTGGGGCCCCTGGGGCCCCTGGGGCCCCTGGGGCCCCTGGGGCCCTAGGGGCCCCGGGGCCCTGTAGGCCTCCTGGGGCCCCCCGAGGCCCTGGGGCCCCCCGAGGCCCTGGGGCCCCCCGAGGCCCTGGGGCCCCCCGAGGCCTTTGTTTTGGTGGATTTGTTCAGATGGCATTAGGGGCCCCTGGGGGCCCCAGGGGGCTGAGTTGGAAGTTTTCATGTTTTGTTTGTTGGCTTGTGTTTGCCCTTTCGAGAAAAGTATATTTGGGGACTCTGGAGAAACTAAAGAGAGACTCTAGACTGAGCTGGGGCTTGGGCCGCCCAGCCGTAGTAGATCTAGGGTTTAGGGTTTAGGGTTTAGGGTTTAGGGTTTAGGGTTTAGGGTTTAGGGTTTAGGGCTTAGAAGGGCTTGGCGCTCGCCCTTCAGCTCTGGAGTCCCGAACTAAAATTTAGCCGCGCATCTTCAGACCGAGGGTATAGGGTTTATGGTTTAGGGTTTAGGGTTTAGGGTTTAGGGTTTAGAGCCTAGGGTTTAGGGTTTAGGGCCGAGCACGCAGGCTTCTCTCCGCGGCTCTCTGTTCCTTCTTTGAGCTGGAGAGGCCAAAACAAAATAAATAAATAAATAAACAAATTAATAAATTATAAATAAATAAATAAATAAATAAATAAATAAAGTAGTCAAGTTCTTGACTTCAGCTTGGGAAACGAGCGAAGCCCTGCTGCTGCTGCTGCTGCTGCTGCTGCTGCTGCTGCTGCTGCTGCTGCTGCTGCTGCTGCTTTGTGGTACTTTAGGTTCCATCTGTTTAGGGTTTCGGCTGCTGGATATCTCTGCCAAACCCTAAACCCTAAACCCTAAACCCTAAACCCCAAACCCTAGGCCCCAAACCAAGTGGCCCGTTTAAGGAGGGAGAGCAGCAATGACCACAGGGTCACTTCCACACAATGCCTGGGCTCCAAACCCTAGACGCCAAACCCTAAAACCTAAATCCTAATCCCTGAACCCTAAACCCTAAACCCTAAACCCTAAACCCTAGGCCTAAAACCCGGACCCCAACCCCTA